CGTGCCCCGGTCCGGGAAGATCCCACATGCCGCGGAGCGGCTGGGCCCGTGAGCCATGGCTGCTGAGCCTGCGCGTCCGGAGCCTGTGCTCCGCAACGGGAGAGGCCACAACAGTGAGAGGCCCGTGTACCGCAAAAAAACAAAAAAATAAAAAACTTTATTGCTAAAAATGCTATCATCTGACAACACAGTGTTGCCACAAACCTTCAATTTGCAAAAACCACAATAAAGCAAAGTGCAATAAAACAAGATATGCCTGTCTGTGTGGTGGGTGATAGATGATATTCAAATGTCCAACACGTCCCCGGGGAAGACCGGTGGCCATGAGTCATGCCCAGCTCACTGGCTCTTATTCCTTCTATTTTTTTCCTTCCACTCAAGGAAGCTCATTGGAGTACGAGTACAAGAGGCATTTTTTAGGATAACTACTCTAGTTTATTCAGCTCTTGGTATAAAACTGAACTACCCAAAATTACTTGGGAAACCTCTGGAATGGTGGTGTTGGGGTAACATCCCTGTGTAGATGGTGCTGGGAGCTGGGGGCCTTTCATGGTGGGTTAGGAAGAGCGCCAAGGAAGGCTGGCGGTCACCCCTGGCCATCTGTCCCCCTACCCGCGACTCCACTGAGCCAGTCTGAGTCTTCCGAATAGACTGCTGCTGGCCTCATAGAATTCGTATTCCTTGCAGCCGCCATCTCTTCCCTCCCCAGGAGAAAACAGGGAGGGAGAGGTATGCTTCTGCAACTTCCCCGCAATGATTTTGGCTCCAGCTTTCTCTGGGTGACACTTTGGTTTTGTGGGATCCAGAGGTAGGCAAGTTCCCCAAACCTGACAGGTTGGTTTTCTTTAAAAAACCAAAGGATAGAGCCTTAAACAGCATCGGGGATGCTTGTCCCAACTTGCCTTCCACTTACCTGTGCTGAGGCAGGTGGTGGGAAGCACAGAGCTGCTTGCCATGGGGGTGAGTCTCATTTCCAGGCTCAATGTCAAGACTGGGCTTTGTGTTGCTTCGTCCCTGGGGTGGGAGTGGCGGGTAAGCTCCCCCTTCCCTCTTCCTGGAAATCAGAGCGCCCCTCCAGCTGTGAGGAGATAGGGTCTGCCCAGAGGGTAGAAAACTGAATCAGACATCATGGGGCTATTATTTCCTTCTCCCCCAATTCCTCAAGGGCTCTGGCGATTAAAAGCTCTTTCTGAAGCGCAACCTCTGTGCCAGGGCAGAGCTGTGAGGGCTGCCACGGGTCGGGGAGAGGAGGAGATCGGGTCCCTGCCTCGGGTGAGACAAGGCGTAACATACATAGAAAAGTAACACTGATGCTAAAAACAGCCCAAGAGAGATGAAGCGTGGCCTGGAGGCACAGTGTCTGGATGTGAGGGCTCACCGACAGGCCTGGGCCAAAGACACACCTGGATCAGGTCCTTGGACGAGCCACTGTCCTGCCTGCTTAGCTTCTGCGGGGCTGTGTGGCTCTGCTGTTGCGAACTTAGGATCAGAGGGAGGCGAGCACTGCGGACGGGTGGGGCAGGTGGGCTTCATGGGTGGAAGAAACAGTCCTGCCATTCATGATCCAGGACTGCTTTCCCATGAACTCCCAAAGCCAATTCTTGGAACTTTTTTTTTATCTTCCTGAATCACCTATAAGCCATGAGGGTATATTGTTTTCTTCTAGCCAGGAGTCCTCCCTGATTGTTCGGGTACCATGAATGGGTCTTTTTTGGTTTCTTTTTAATTTATTAATTTTGGCTGTGTTGGATCTTCGTTGCTGCGCACGGGCTTTCTCTAGTTGTGGCAAGCGGGGGCTACTCTTTGTTGCAGTGCGCGGGCTTCTCATTGCGGTGGCTTCTCTTGTTGCGGAGCTCGGGCTCTAGGCGCGTGGGCTTCAGTAGTTGTGGCTCGTGGGTTCAGTAGCTACAGCATGCGGGCCCTAGAGAGTGTGGGCTTCAGTAGTTGTGGTGTGCAGGCTCAGTAGTTGTGGCTCGCGGGCTCTAGAGCGCAGGCTCAGTAGTTGTGACGCACGGGCTTAGTTGCACCGCGGCATGTGGGATCTTCCCGGACCAGGGCTCGAACCCGTGTCCCCTGCATTGGCAGGCGGATTCTCAACCACTGCGCCACCAGGGAAGCCCCTGAATGGGTCTTTTGGATGTGACATACCTGGCACCTTTAGACAAAGTTGTTTGGCAGGGCACGTTGCCCAGGAATCTCTTGAACGTCCATTTGGGGCTTCTCCCTTGTCAATGAAATGGATTATTTCTGTTTATGGGGCACATCTGTGGCTGTTTCATCCATCCATCTATCCATCCATCTACCTACCTAACCATCTTCCCACCCATCCATCCATCGACCCACCCACCCATCATCCATCCACCCGTTCATCATCCATCCACCTATTCATCCATCCATCCACCCTTCCATCCAGCTACCCACCCATCCATCCATCTACCCAGCCATCTATTCATCCACCCGTCCACTTATTCAGTTTATCCATCCATCCACCCTTCCATCCATCTACCCAGCCATCTATCCATCCACCCATCCACTTATTCAGTTTATCGACCCATCCACCCATCCATCCATCCATCTATCTACCCACCCATTCATGCATCGATCTACCCACCCAACCACCCATCCTTCCATCAATGCATCCAACCAACCACTCAACATTCCTTAAATGCCTGCCATGCTCCAAGTGTCATGTTAAGACCTGGGAAGACAGGGTTGAGTGAGGCTCAGTCCTCGTCCTCAGAGAGTGCCCCATGCCGTATGAGAAGCAGACTGCAGACCCTCAAAAACTCCAGATGGAGTCATCATTTCCTTTAAAGGCCAGAGGAAAAGGCTTTCAGTGTGTAGCATTACAGGATATAACTTAAGCAAATAATGATAATACAAAATGCTTGGATTCCCAGGCTTCTGTGAAGTGGCCTTAGGAATGAGTGTTGAGGAAGGTCGAACACTTTAGCTGGAGAGGAGGGAAGGGCCTTTTGGACAGAGCCAACAGCCTGGACAAGGGCGAGGGCCTGGAGAGGATGGGATGGCATTGGGAGGCAACAAGGAGCTTCAGAGTTGCCAGAGCCTGTGGGGCTGGAAGCGGGGAGAGAAGCTAGAGGGGGGCTAGAGAGAGGCGGGGGAAATGGAAGCACCTTGTGTGTCCTACAGAGGACTGGCCCTGTCCTCGTGAAGGACAGTCAACTTCCTAGGAAGACAATTCTGTGGGCTCAGCTCCCATGCCCTGCGGGGCTTAAGTGGGAGCTTGGGGGACAGAAAGGGAGAGAGGGGCAAATGCCACATGCTGAGAGTCCAGGATAGAGTGGGATGTCCCCCGTGGGCCCGTCCGGCCTCCTTCGCATCTTGTCCGCTCTCCTTTCCGTGTGTCCGTGGATCCCTGCTCTTACAAGGCCCGTCCCCTTTGTTTTCATTCTCTGTCTTTGTCTTCAGTGTCTGAGGAGTGAGGAAGGGGACTCGTGTGTGCGGAGAGGCTCTGGCCCTGATTAACTTCAAGAGAAGCAGGTGGAGGAGGGCGAGGGCCGTCTGGGGTCCCGATTTCACAGACTTGCTGTGCTGCCTCTGGCCAATCACGGCCTTTAAACAGGGGGCATCTAAGAAGATGTCCCCTGGGTTCCTTGTGGTGTGGGCATTCTATGATGCCCGCTTCAGCACCTTTTCCAAGCTTTCTCTCCTTGCCTTCTTGCCTACCCCCCAAGCCCACGTCTGCCTCCCCTCTCCCGCTCTATCCGTCCGTGGTATGGCCGGGAGTGGCTGAGAACCACCTCCTTCCCTGAGCAGCAGACCGTGGAGCTCAGGAGTCATGCTTTAGTTATCCACATGCTTCCCAGAGTAGCATGGTCCTACTGGCGTTCATTCCCTTACGATACATGTCCATTAGGTAAAGTCCACCCAGGGAGACGTGGACTCCCCCAACTGGTCTCTCGATCCTTATCATGGAATTCAGTTCAAAGGAACACGTTCCAGAAAACCGCTTTCTTGTTCTGCAGCATTTGAAGGGGGCAATGACAGAACAGGTGACCTCTCTGTGGCTCTCAGAGCCAGGTGAGGGTGACAGAGACCCTGCCTGCTCATACCCGCCGACAGCCCAAAAGCCCAGGAAGGCACCACCACTCTCTCAGGAATGTTACAGTGTTTGCTGTTCACCACGAGTCACTGTACGCACTTTTCTGTTCATCCATTCAAAGCATCCAACCGTTGGACACATACTTGCTCAGTGAAATGCCTTGTGGTCGGTGCTGTGAGGGAGAGATGAATTTTCACCCTTGGTGGTTAGTGAGCTGTGCCGTGAGAGCCTTGCCGTGGCAGTGCTGTCGGGGCAGCTCAGAGAGGCATGGGGCAGGCCCGGAAGGGGGTTTGGAGGTCAGAGCTGGAGACAGGAGGCTTAGCAGACAGTGGTTCTCAGATACATCTGGAGGTCAGAGGGTTCAGTCAGATGACAGGGTGCTGCTAGGGCCAGGGGCCAGCACGTGGAAATGTCCACATTCCTGCTATGTCACCCACACAACAGCCAAACTACCGTAACACCCGCCCCCAACACACATACAGACACACCTCCGCAACAGTATGATGTTTCCAAAGGCCCACTTCTTTCAAGCACGAGTTCCAGAATTCACCTGCAAATCTTTCCAGCTTTGTTGCAACAAGAATTTATCAGGTTTCAGAATAGACTGGTATTGTATCAACCCTCTCTTGCTGGAGGCTTCTCCCCAAATCCAGTGTTTCCTGCCCACCTGGTTCTAGGCAGAGGAGGCCTGGCTCCCTGACTCGCAGCTCTGGGGTGCAGGGATTGCCTTACCAGGCGAGGCTTTGGAGACTTTGTGGTGTGGGGTGCTTTGGAGGATGCTGTGGCGACACCCTGTGGCCTGATTTGGAATTGCACCTTGGTAGTGGGAGCCGTCCCCCGCCCCCCCACTCCGCCTCTGTGGCTGCTGGCCCTCTGCCTCTTATTCTTTGTTGCTGTCTCTCGTCTGTTCTGCTTTTTCTCCTTTTTCCCTCTGTAGACTCGGCTTTGCAGCTGGAGAGGCTGGTTCGTTTGCCCTTGGGGAAGTACTTTATCAGGCCGGGCGAAATGTCTCAAGTTGCAGGAAATCCATGGTTTGGGGGATGGCCCTCGTCAGCCAGAGCCAGCCTTCTTCCTGTGTAAGTGGCCGCAGAAAGAGCGTGCTTTAATAGCGAGTCTCTTTGCACTCAGAGGTGATAGGCGGTGGCAGTGCATGGGGAGGGAGGGAGTGGGCTTGCCGTGGTTGGACAGGGTCTGCCAGCGTGGACTGAGAAGGCCATCGAGATGGGCCCTGGTTCCTGGGGCAGCGGGAGTGTGTTCCGATTGCCTCCTGGGGCAGAGGGGTGTCTGTAAGGTAAGGACAGAGGCTGGGTAGTGGTCAGATGCCTGCTCTCCCTGCACGAGGGGAGAGGGTGGGAAGCCAGCCAGATGACCCTGGCTGTAAATCCTAGCTTTGCCTCTTATTAGCTCCTGTGATTTTAGGCAAATCACGCAGAACTCATCTGGTCCCTCCTGTTCCTGTTTTCTGGTACGACGTAGCTACAGGATGGGGATGGGGACAGGATGGCTCCTACAACACACGTTCTTTTTAAAAGCTGCCATTTCGTGCGTGTCTCTCTGTGCTGTGCACAGCTGTAAGCTCTTTGCGAGCATCATTTTATCAAACCCTTGCAACAATCCCTTGCAGGGATTCTGTTGTTGTCCCTATGTTACACATGAGGATTTTGGGGCACACAAGGGTTACATCACCTGCTGGATGACATGGTCACAAAGGGCGGGGACAGGATCAGACTCAGGGTGTCTGCCAGATTGTGACCCTGTGCAGCCTCACCAATCCCAGGGTTTGTGGTTCCTTCCAAGGCTGGGGCTCTGTTCTGGGGGACGGTGAATTGAGGTCCCTTATTTCTCCCCCTCCTTCTTGCACTTCTCTTCCATCTCTGCCCAGTGTCCACAGGGTCAGGAAAGAAGGAGGGACATGCCCATGGGCTGGAGCAAAGTTGGAGCTGATCTCTGGAGGTTATGGGGCTTCTCGGGGTCCACGGTGGCCGCCTCTTACCCAGAACAGGGATCCCCAGGCTGGGCTGCCCTGAGAGCTGGACGGCACACAGCAGCCTGGTGATGTCATGTCCTCAGACATGATTCTGAGCTGGACGCTGGGGATGGAGAGCTGAGCAGACCCAACTCTGCCCTCGAGGAGAGTTCCCTGACCACTCAGGAGGCAGATGTGGGTGTCTCTGCCATTTTCCACACCAAAGGATGTGGGCACAGTGGGGCTTGTAGTCAGGTGACTGCACTGGCTCGTAGGGGACATGAATAACCTGGAGGGGGAGATGGGCCTGGGCTGCAGGGGCAGCAGTCTATGTTTGGTGGAGAAGGGGCAGGCCAGTGGGCTGGGACAGGGTATCTGGGGAGCAGAGGTGAAGAGCAGTGGTGGGACATAGACTCCGTCCCCGCTGGAGAGTGCGATGAGGGGCAGAACTGTCGACGGGGGGCTGAGATGGCCCCAGCGCCTCCCTCATCTTACGGGCTGCACTAGAACAGCTACCCCACGAGCCTCGGCGCCCAGGCTCTGCACACCACCCTTGGGGGTCCTCTGGCCTCGCAGACCTGTGGGCACCAAGGGAGGATCCATCCCCCACAATACACTGTGCTGCTGAAGTGGTTACCAGCCCTGCCTCCCGGGCCAGCCTGGGCGTGTGAGCTCTCCGTCGCCCGAGCCCCAGTTCAGGGCTGTGGTTTCATGTGGAGCCTCTCTTTACCCCTCCCCTTCCAGTATCCAGCCTGCCATCTGTGCTGCCCGGCTCCGCACACCCTCAGCTGCTGCCCCCTCCTCAGGCTGGGCCCAAGCCAGCTGAGGCCCCATCGTGTTCCATCCAGGAGGAGCTGCCTGTCTTTGCCACAGTCAGCACCACTCATTTTAATGCTGGCTTCATCTGTCTTGGAACCGGAGGCAGGTGGGGGTGATGATGAAAGAGAGAAGGAAGGACCATGCTTATTCAGTTTCCCCAGCCCAGTATCCCTGTGTGTGGTATTAAATATTCCAGAAATCTCTTAAGTACTTAAACACCTAATTGTACCCAGGGCTTCTGCAGGGTAATCAGCTGGCGCCTCTGCCTAATTAAGCATCTCAACCTTCGCAGAGGTGCTCGCCCCAGGAGCCTCTCAGGATGCTGGGAGATGGTTGCCCCCTCCCCACCCACCCTGAGCTCTTTCCACGTCTGAGACTGAGCCGTTCCCATCAGGGTGGGAGAAGTGGAGAGCGCTGGGGGAGAAGCTGCTGGCCATAGGAGGAGCTTGTGCAAAAATGCTTGTCCTTCGTGGGTTACTCGCCCTTGGTTATTTTTAATGTGCATGTGTGTGTTATTTACTGAAACTCTTTTTTCATTCTCATTTCTCCCCCCTTTCCTTCCCTGATTTAGGTTTCTTGAGGTCCAGAAGCCCAGGCTCTGTAAGATGCTTCGTGTCCTGGCCTTCGCTTATCCCTACACCTGGGACTCCCTTCCCATCTTCTCCAGGGTAAGGGCCCGACTCCAACCCCTCTCTGCCTGTTGGAAGCATCAGGGAATCAATTGTGTCCTGAGCTCTGGGGGTCAGAGCGCTATCCTGGTCACAGTGGGACACACAAGAGTAGAGTCCCAGGTGCTCCTTTTTTTTTAAAAAAATAAGTTTATTTTATTTATTTATTTTTGGCTGCATTGGGTCTTCCTTGCTGCGCGTGGGCTTTCTCTAGCTGTGGTGAGCGGGGGCTACTCTTCATTGCAGTACGCGGGCTTCTCTTTGCAGTGGCTTCTCTTGTTGCAGAGCATGGGCTCTAGGCTCACGGGCTTCAGTAGTTGTGGCACACGGGCTTAGCAGTTGTAGCTAGCAGGCTCTAGAGTGCAGGCTCAGTAGTTGTGGCGCACGGGCTTAGTTGCTCTGCAGCACGTGGGATCTTCCTGGACCAGGGTTTGAACCCGTGTCCCCTGCATTGGCAGGCGGATTCTTAACCACTGTGCCACCAGGGAAGCCCCCCCCGCCCCCAGATGCTCCTTTAATGGCACTTGCAGACTAATTAAGAGATGGCATGAACACAGAGGCCCTGATGAACATAGGAGATGCACCAGTGGCCAGTGCTGACTGGGGGCCCAGGAGCAATCGCAGAGGGCTGGTCAGGGGAAGCAGCCTGGGGTTCAGTAGAGTGACCAGGAGAGTGGGCTCTGGAGGCAAATCTGTAATATTTACTCACTGCAAGACATTGGACGAGTTATCTTCCACCTCTGTGTCTTGATTTCCCTCATCTGTAAAATGGCCTGGTAATAACACCTCCTTTTGTCAGGCTGTGGGAGGATTATACGAGACAATGTGTAAAGTGCTAGCTGGTGGTGAGAGTCCAGTAAATGCAGTATTATATATTATCATCAATTAACATAGTAGTAATAGTGAAGGAAAATGTATGAATGAAGGTCTTAAAGGATAGATGGGAATTAGATGGAGAACACAAGGGAAGAGGGTGTAGGAGGAAAGGCAAGAAGGGGGAAAGTTCAAATCCCAGTCCCACTGTTCACTGGCTGTGTGACCCTAGGCAATGAACAGAAGCTCTCTGAGCCTTGGTTTCCTCATCTTTATTTTTGTTTAATTTTTTATAAATTTATTTTATTTATTTATTTTTGGCTGTGTTGGGTCTTCGTTGCTGCACGTGGGCTTTCTCTAGTTGCAGCGAGCCAGGGCTGCTCTTTGTTGTGGTGCGCAGGCTTCTTATCACAGTGGCTTCTCTTGCTGCAGAGCACGGGCTCTAGTCGCCCGGGCTTCAGTAGTTGTGGCACGCAGGCTCAGTAGTTGTGGCGCACGGGCTGAGTTGCTCCGCGGCATGTGGGATCTTCCCGGACCAGGGCTCGAACCCGTGTCCCATGCATCGGCAGGCGGACTCTTAACCACTGCACCACCAGGGAAGCCCTCCTCATCTTTAAATGAGGCTGACATCCTGTCCTTCACAGGGCGTAGAGGAGAATAATCAAATAAACAGAACTGATGGGCTCAGCAATGCCAAGCCCAGGCCCAGTGGTCTCAGAGGCAGCGTAAGGGTCTGCTGCCTGAGGCCAGGATGGCAGGGCCCAGGGATAAAGGAGAGGGGTCGAGCTGGCTTCATTAGCTGAGGCACTGAGCGTGTGCTCCTGCTGAGTTCATGTGGGCCTGGGGGGGACCCAGAGATGGGGATGCAGCCCATTTCCCCGAATCCTTCTTCGAGGACACAGACCACACACAGGAAACCAGAGCAAAGAACAAGCCGGTCCCACAAGGCCACCAAAGCATACAGCACAGGTGCTTGCTATGATGAGCGCTGGGTGCTCCTGGCACTGCACCAGCCAGTGGGCAGCGGGGGAGGGGAGGGCTTACCCTAAATGGCGATGTGGCTGAGCACACAGGTTCTGGAATCAGCCTGACTTCACTGTTAGTTAGTGGTTTGCAAGTCACCCTCCAGCCCAGTTGCCTCATCTGCAAAATGGGGAGAATAGTGTCTGCCTTGTGGTCATTGTTGAGGCTCTGATGAAGTGCTACCCGTAAAAGGCCCGGCCTAGTGCCCTCCGTAGTGGTGGCTGCCGCCGCTATTTATAACAATCGTACAAAAACCGTACTGAACTCCACACCAGGGTAATGTCCATAATTAATAGTTTGTGATGATTCAGAAGGCCTTCCAAGGCCTTAAAGCCTTAATTAGGAGCATCAATTCAGGGGATGTGCTGGTTAGAAGTGAGTTCAAGTGTGAATAGGCCATTTTTTATGATACTAACGTTTTAGCCCCAGGAAAAAAGTAGCGATAGATCTAACTGGATTTTTCTTTTCCTTTAATTTTGTCTTCACTTCTGTTGTTTTCCTTTTCTTCCTTCCTTTCTTTCTTTCCTTTTCCTTTTTTTTTTTTTTTTTTTTTGGAATTAAATAATCCAAAGGCTCTCATGAGCATGTGGGGGATTAAACTACAGTTGCCTTGGGTCTCAGTTGATCACACTCAGAACAGGAAGCTGCTCACACGGTCCCTGCGAATTCCCTTTCCAAGCCACAGAACTGGAGAGGGAATGGCCTTGGCCCACAGAGTCCACACATATGCGTGGGGATGTCTGCAGGCCTCCTCTCAAGACCTGACATAAGTTCCTTCCTTCCTTCCTTCCTCTCTCTCTTTTTAAAAATTTTTACTTTATAATGAATATAGTTGATTAACAATGTTGTGTTAGTTTCAGGTATACAACAAAGTGATTCAGTGAGACATATACATGTATCTATTCTTTTTCAAGTTCTTTTCCCGTTTAGGTTATTATAGAATATTGAGTTCCCTGTGCTATATAGTATGTCCTTGTTGGTTATCTATTTTAAGACCTGACGTTTCTTTAAATACCTGCAGCTATTCCTCTTCCCTGGGGAGAGTGCACAGAATGAAGCCACCTTGTACCATCAGAAGCACATGGCCGTGACCCTCCTGGCCTCTTTTCTCTACTCCGCGCATCTGCCGGAGCGCCTGGCTCCTGGACGCTTCGACTACATCGGTGAGTGCCTGGTGGCCCCGATGCCCCTTGCCCTCCTGTCCAGGGAGGGTTCCCAATCCCTGACACCAGTGCACATAGTTGCAAAGAGAGGCCAGGGCAGGGAGAGAAGCAATTCTTCAGGAAGTTCTCCAGGCACAGACCAAGGTTAGTGAAATTGTAAGGTGACAGAGGCCAGGATGTACATAGCCAGTGGACGACCAGGGAGGATAGCGGAGGATGGAGAGGAGGTGGATCTAGGATTCTAAAGCATTTCCAGCAGGTATGAGGACAGGAGAGTCCCATTATTACCTAGAATGTGAAATCCTGTTATTAAATGAACACGTAAGGCAGCCATAAAGAGGAAGAGGAAAGACAGGGTACAGCTGGCTCTGAGAGTACCAGCTGGCAGGGAGGGGGCTGTGCTGAGGAGAGGAAAGCGTCTTTGTCTCATTCAGGTGGGTACGATGGGGCCAGGAATTGTGGTAGAGCAGTGGTTCTCAGGTATGGCCCCTGGACCAGCAGTCTCAGCATCACCTGGGAACATGCAGATTCTCGGTTCCCAGCCCCCAGACATCCCGTGTCTCAGAAGCTGTGTGATTCTCCAGGTCAGCCTGAGCTCACTCAAGTTAGAGAAGCCATGTGGTGGAGAGGAGGTGTTGGAACCACAGGGGTTTGCACCTGCTGGCAGGGTTCCTTCCTCTCTGTCTAGGGAAGTGGGTGGCACTGCGGAACGTGTCTCCTCCACCCTGGCTCTGGGACTGGCTGGAGGAGGGACCCTTGGGCCACTTCTGGTGAGGCTGATGAGTCCTGGGATGAGACCTCCTTAGATAAGCTATCAATACCATGGGGATTCAGATCCTCACTCCCAGGTGGCGGGCAGGAACCTCGGTTCTCCCCAAGCCCATTTTGTCCGTGGGTTTCCATCTTCTGCCCAAGACACATGGCCAGATTTTTCTTTGTTTGCTCTGATTAGAGTTTCATCTCCTTTACTTCTTCTCTCCTGCCAGAAGGGATTACAATGAGCAAAATACTTAGAGGGCAGATTTCAAAAAAGGAGGGAGATGAGAGGGCCAGGGGATTGGAACCTGCCTAAGGAACCTGCCCAGCACGTCCACCGCCCCAGCTCCAGCCAGATGAAACAGAGGTGGTAGCGTACGAAGTCTGGGTGGGGGGGCCTTGTTTTGCAAGCTCTGGCTTCTTAATAACATTTTATTGACTCACCTCTATCCTGTCCTCTCGGGCCTAGAGCAGAAAGACACTCCAATGGGGGGAAATTGGCCAGATGGGCAGTTAGTAACAGATCTTTAACAAAGGGTTTGGAAAGTTCTCCGTCCCTAAATAACAGTCAGTCAGATGCTGGGCTCCCTCTCCAACGCCCACAGGAAGTTCCTCCCTATTCCTGCCAGGAGGGATTGTTGAAATCACTCTTCCTGCTGCAGGCACATTTCACATCTGTTCAGTGCTCGTGGCTCTTCTGTCTTTTGATCTCCTGCCCTAACAGAGACAGGTTTGTGCCTCAGTTGGTGAGCACAGCTGATCACCTCCTTCTGCTTGGCCCTGTGTCCTTAGAGTACATGGCTCTCGCTGGATAAGGAACCACTTCATTGCATCACACACAGATTTGGAAATTGGATACAGCCCAGTAGTATGGCTTGAGTGAGGCAGGGGGGGCCCCTCCAGACACACTTCCTCCCTGGGGGATGCAGTCTGGAGTGCTGGCAGCTCCCTGCCCTAAGGAACTCATTGGCCACCTACTCAACTCTCCTACATCCTCATTCCTGACTCTGTTCTTGTTCAGTTGGGCAGATGGCCAGGCTGGTCCTTTCTGTGGACACATTTATTGAATACTTACTCTGGGTTAAGTCCTGGGGGTACAACACTGAATTCTTTTTTTTTTTTTTTTTAACTGAAGGAGAATCTTTAACTCTTGTGTCGTACTAGCTAGGGCTGCCATAACAAAGAACCACAGACTGGGTGGCTGAAACAACAGCAATTTATTTTCCCATAATTCTGGAGGTTAGAAGTCTGAGATCAAGGGGACGGCAGGGTTGGTTTCTTCCAAGTCCTCTCTCCTTGGCTTGCCCATGGCCATCTCCATTTCTCTTCACATGGTCTCTCCTCTGTGTACGTGCATGTCTGCATCCTAATCTCCCCTTCTTAGAAGGACACCAATCAGAGTGGGTCCCACGCTAGTGACCTCATTTTAACTTAATTGTCTCTTAAAGACCTTATGTCCAAATATGATCACATTCTAAGGTACTGGGGGTTGGGACTCTCAACATATGAATTTGGGAGGGGGAGATACAACTCAGCCCATGAAACATGGTTTCTGCAGGCTGTCCCCCAAAGCAATCCCCAGCCCTGGGCAATGGACTCCTTTTCTCACCAATCACCAAGTCAGCACATCCCTGCTCACTCCAACCACCCTGCACTGGACTCCCACCCTCTGGGGATGCATACATGGTGACTGGGGTCCTGTAAGTTATCGGAGAGGAAGAGCCCCTGGTTGTGTCTGGGATTAAGCAGCAGTGGGGAGAGGAGCACCTCATAAGAGGCCAACAGAAAATTTGGCTGGCTTCTCCTTTGGGATTGAAGTCAGAATCTGAGCTGATCAGTGACAGCTCTCAAGAGGTAACCTTTGGCAGAACTTTTTCGTGTGAAAAACAGGACTGGTGGATAAGTTGTTTTAAAAATGGATTTGGTTTGCTCTGATGGCCCTTTTATTTTTCTCATATTACATTTTAAAAATAAATTTTTAAAGTACATATTATATATTACATAATACCCTAATTTCAAGTATATGATTCAATGATTTTTTAGTAAATTTACCACATTGTACAACCGTCACCATATAGGAGTTTTAGAACATTTTCATCACCCCAGTAAGATCCTCTGTGCCCATGTACTATTAATCCCAACTCCCACCCCTGCCTGAAGCAACCACTACTCTACTTTCTGTCTCTGTGGATTTCCCTTTTCTGGACATTTGATATAAATGGAATCATACAATTTATGGTCTCTGGTATCTGGCTTCTTTCACACCACATAGTGTTTTTAGCATACATGCCATAGCATGTATCAATCCGTTCCTATTTTATTGCTGATCTTGGTGGTCTTTTGTGTGTTTGCTATAGGTCATAGTCACCAGCTGTTTCATGTGTGTGTGATCCTAGCCACACACATGCAGATGGAAGCCATCCTTCTGGACAAGACTCTAAGGAGGGAATGGCTCCTGGCCCACTCCAGGCCCCTGTTGTTCTCTCAGATAGCCGGAGCCATACTTCTGTGCCTCATCTTCAGCCTCAGCAACATAATTTATTTCTCAGCTGCTCTGTATCGGATTCCTGAGCCAGAATTACATAAAAAAGAAACATAATTCAGACCATAAGCTTTTTGTGCCAAGTGTCAACATTAAGCTACAACTTCCTAACCACCATAAGCCAGTGTCAAGGTACCAGTTTATAGTGGCCTAAGATATTTATAATGGTTGGTGTCTTGGCATTTTTGAATGGATTCATGTCAATAAGGTATTGACATGGGGACATTTCTCTAGACGTGCATTGGTTCCGTATGTGTGGTTTTAAAAGGGGAACGTGGGTTCAAGTAAGTCCTTATTCAGGCAAATCATTAATATTTCATTTAGTTTTTAATTTATTTAAAGTGAGTTCTCCAATCCTATTTAAACAATTGGATTAAGCATACCTCCCTTGTAGCTCTACTATGAAATAGTTGGATTAAGCTTTACGACCCTTGTAGTATTACTCTTGCAGAATGCAACGTGCTTCATCTGATGAGTTTCATGTCACAAAGCCTCTCCCAGGAGCTCCCACAGTGGGAAGAGAATGAGCTGGAAAGGTCAGTAGGGGAACCTGAGAAAGAGTAAGTTGGGTCTGTGGGAGCCCTGGGGGCTGGGAAGGCAATTCCAGAATGAAGAAACCTGGCTTGGGGAGCGGTCTTCTTCCTTTCCCCACCTAGTGAAGGGAATGAACAGAAAGAGAGTCCTCTTTTCCTACAAGTACATTCTTTTTCACAATGCAAGGTTCCCACGTCATGATAGATTTGGATTTTCTTACAAGTCCACAGCCTGTGGCTAAGTGTTATGTGTTCTGTTTTGCTCTGTTTTCTTGTCACCAGTTTGATGCTGCCAAGTATTACGCAGCACAGGAAAAATGTGTTGCCCAGTGGGCATTGGCTGAGTCGATCCCAATTGGTTGTGCTTGTCTGTCACCTTTTAAGCCAATGACATCACGATATTTGGGGAGGTTATACATTTGATGTTGCTTCAGCATTTCATATATGCTGCTGGGTTTCGTGTTCACGTGCAGAGGATGCTAAAGACCTTGCCAAAGGGATGGAAACACTCGGTGAGCTTGTGACAGATGTAGATTCCCCAGGCAAATCAGGAGATGCTGCTTTACTGGTTTAAAATGTTGGTTTCCTGGAGACAATCTACACTGGAGAAAGTCCCCCAGGTGATTCTGAGTCAGGAGGGCCATGGGCCAAACTTGCAGAAATGCTGATGTCACAAACTCCAGAAGGTACTGAGCCTATCAGCTTTGTTTTGATTGGTCTACCTTTTAGCAACCCACCACCTAAGAATGTGTCCCCTGCTTTCTACTCTGTGGAGTATTACAAAACACTGAGTATTTTCTCACCTGTTGCATCACTAATTAAAGTTCACCGTTTCATGATGTTTCCGGAGAGTACAGAAATGCTGACACAAAACAGTTTTTAACAGAAGCCCATCACCCCCTGTTGTGCACTTGTCTGATGACTTAAGGGGCCATCCATCACAATGCGGGATCCTCTTTCGCTGACTCAGGAGCACCCCCATATCTTAGTGTACTGCCTCTGTGGAGCACCCCCATATCTTAGTATACTGCCTCTATGGTTTACTGGCACAGACACTCGAATGGCCTTATAAATAGATCATCGTCCAATCTTCTGAGGACAAGTAACAATTTCCATTGGATGCGAGTGGTCAAGAAATATGATTTCATTCATTTGATTATCTGTTTACTTCCTCTGGGGAAGGTAGACTGATAAAATTATATGGGCTGGTAAATTTGGGGTACATTCATTGCCAGCTACATGACAAAATTTGTTTTTTTGGCAAGAGGCTGACATTGTTAGTGGAATCTTACTCCAGCAGGGTCTGTGGGCTTCCGTTTCATGTTATTGTAACTTCAGTCTTATGGTGAACAAAGGTACAAAGTTTAAATACTCCATTCTAGTAGTGCCAAAGGCATGAAGGCTTTTAAATTCTCTTGTTTATAGAGAGTAAAATAAGGTTCTTCATTTAGCTCAGAAGTAGGTGAAAGATAACGGGTGACTAATTTGAAGGACTTTTAGATTATTTAATTTAATCTTTGGTTACGTTGCTTTTTCAGCGTGCCTAATGATGAAAATGAAATGTCAGATCTACAAAATAAGACCAGGTGTTTCATAACGTTTTTATAAGTTTGGTAAACTTAGTCCCATTGTATACTTTTGGACAGTGTTACAAACTGCTGTCTCCAAAGGCAGCGGGGGAGCGACGGGGCAGAGAATTCCTAAAGAGATGTATTTCTTCCCCCTCCTCCTTGAGAAACACTACTATAAAAATTTGCCAGTCATTTTTGTTGTGATGAAACTCAGATATGTTTGAATGAGGCCATTTTGTCAATTGCCCCAGAGTTTCATTTTCCTTTGCTCAGTTCTTAGAAAGGAATTCTCCCTCTTCTTTCTAAGGACATGAATTTGTCGTTGATTAGAATTAGAAGTGGGATGTTTAGAAGCCTTTTGAGTACAAAGTGATTTAAATATTTGGTCTGCTGCAATCTTTCTCAAAGTGTTTTTTGTGGAAGGAACTCAGCTCCCAGGAGATGTTCTGAGGAAGGTAGGGTGGGGAAGAATGATGCTGTTTTCGGATGCATTGGAGAAAACTTTCCTTTGGATCTGCTGTGTCCCACATTTGTTGTGGGCATGGTACCCTTTTTATATGAAACAGCTATTAACACTGTATAACAACACTTTATAACATATTGTTGAATGCCAGCCTCTGATTTTCCAGTCGACAATCCATTATGGATGAAAAGGCAGAGACCTATGTCCAAACTCAGAGATGTTCTTCCAACTTATACTAATGTCTGGTTTTCTTAAACTGTGTGGAAGAAAAAATAAAATAAAATGTATTTATTATAGGAAAGTCCTTCCGTTTCTTACTTGTCTTGGTTATATTTCACCTACCCCACTGCAAACATGTTCATTCATCATGAGAAATAGATTCCTGTACGTGTGTTTTGTTAAGTCATTCAGTGAACATTTATTTAGTGCTTGGTATATATAGAACAAACACCGTCCTAGGAGTTGGGGATACAGAAGAGAACAAAACCCAAACCATCCTTCCCTCATGGAGCTGATGTTCTACGTCAGTCAGTAGGACAAGAGATATAGATAAATTCAGGTAATGGTAAGTGCTTAGAAAATAAGCCTGGGACTTCCCTAGTGGTGCAGTGATTTAGAATCCGCCTGCCAATGCAGGGGACACGGGTTCGAGCCCTGGTCCGGGAAGATCCCACATGCCGTGGAGCAACTAAACCCACGCGCCACAACTGCCGAGCCTGCGCTCTAGAGCCCACGAGCCACACCTACTGAAGCCCGCACACCTAGAGCCTGTGCTCCGCAACAAAAGAAGCCCACGCACCGCAACGAAGAGTAGCCCCCGCTGGCTGCAACAGAGAAAGCCGCGTGCAGCAACAAGGAACCAACACAGCCAAAAATAAATAAATAAATAAATTTATAAAAAAAGAAAAGAAAAGAAGCCTGGTGAGGGACTAGGGAGGGGTGGGGTGGGGCAGCTGAGATAGGATGGGCACTCTGATAAACTGGTATTTGAGGAGAGACTTGATGGGTGAAGGAGCCAGCACGTGGGGGAGAGTATTTCAGGTCCAGGTAGCTGTAAGTGCAAAGGCCCTAAGGCCAGTAAGCGTTTGTCTTATTGGAAGGATAGAAATCAGGCCACTCATTCCTGAAATGTATAGCTCCAGAAGACATCGGCATGACTCAGAGAATTATGAAATTTCTCCTGAATGTTCCTCCCGGGAGATTGCCCAAGGGGTTTTCCTATGGCCCCTTGGTATTTGTATGAATTCTTCAACTCTGTAATAAACGTACTTCAGCAAATGGTTGTCACACACATTCTCTCCGTGTTGAGAAACCGGTTTCTAAAACTGGCTTACATGTTGTCTCCTCCAGAGCATGGAACCGCGAGCCTCAAAGAAAATTTAATCTAGCCTTTAAAAAATGTGTGTGATGATGTAAAATGCACATGCGCAGGGCGCAGATGCACAGATGAAGACTCACGGAGGGTGCTGGGGGTGGGCGTGGTCCTGGAGTTTTGAATTTTTCTCAGAAGCCCCAGGTGATTTTTAATACCATAAGCGAGTTTAAGAAGCACTGATATAGTCCAACCATTCTCTCTCTCTCTCTCTTTTTTTTTTTGGACATAATTTCATAGTTAGAGAAGTGTTGCTAAGTAGTACAAAGAATTCCCAGGTACTTTTCACCCTTCCCCTTTTCGATATTTATATTACTCTCTAACAGTGAGAAACTTGGTTCCCATTATCCACAATGTATTTACTTATTTGCTCAATCCTGGAATGTACAGAATGTCCTTTCAGAACTACTAATCCATGTCTTCAAAAAGGCCAAGTAATTAGAATTCAATATATGTTTCAAGTTTTTTTTGTCTTGAGCCTGAGGGCATATACTTAGTCTAAATAGTCTAAATACCTTGGGTAAGTGATAGCTCCCCTTCTGTGTATGTTATTCATTTGAAGTTCTGTTCAGATCTTTTGTGGTTTTTTGTATCAACTGTACACCCTCCCCCAAGCTTGTTGATTTTACTGATTTGTTGTTGTTGCTTGAGCATGTAAGGCATTAACATCCAATCATTCATTTTACAGATGGCCTGGGGAGAGAGTCACATGGCCTGGGGATGTGAGATTATGTTGCCAAAGCCACTGAAGCCTTGGGTGTGCTGAGTGTGTTGGATGCTCACAGGCATCCTGTCTCCAGCTTACCACCTTTCCTCAAACACTCTGGGCTTTGGTAATTTCTGGTGCTTGCTGGTTATTAGGTTCTCACAGCTGGATGTGTTTAGCTGGGAGATTGGGTTAATTATGGTTTCAAATCTCTGTAGTATCAACCCCTCTTCAGTGATTTGCATAAGATCCTCCCAGTACAGTTTCTTATAAAGTTAAACTTACGATGACCGCAAGACCAGCAATCCCACCCAAGAGAAATGAAAATATCTATGTCTACATAGATAACTTTACGCAAATAATTATACCAGTTTCATTCATCATCGCCAAAAAGTGGAAACGGCTTAAATGTTCATCAACTAGTGAATGGGTAGATTGTCATACAATGGAATACTAATCAGCAAAGAAAAGGGAAAAAATTGACAGGTGCAAAACTTGGATAGAATCTCAAAAGCATTATGCTGAGTTAAAAAAGAGACATTCTGGAAAAGACAGAAATCTAAGGAAAGAAATCAGAAAAGTGGTTGCCAAGGGCTGGGGATAGGGGAAGGTGATCGCGAAGGGTCAGCACAAGGAATTTTCAGTGTGATGGGAATATTATACATTTGATTATAGCAGTGGTTACAGGATGGTGTATGTTTGTCAAATATATACATGGGACAAATAAAAAGGGTGAATTTTATTGCACGTAAATTATACCGCAATAAACCTGATCTTTAAAAAAGTCTCCCAGTTGTACTCTCTACCCTTCTTCTACCCTCACCCTGGTCTGGATCTCTAATTCTAGGGGAAAATGCAAATCTTTTACCAGCTGTGGGGAGTGCTTGACCATTTTTGAACAGAGAAAATGATATAATGGATTGGCATTAAAAATTAAGTCAGTGAGCTTTAATAAGGATATAGATGAGTGAGGAACAAGAAACTGGCCAAAAGAAAAGCTGGGGGTGGTGTATTGTAACTGGGCCCTCCATTGGGGTGTTCTGCGAAGGGATGGGTTCATTCATTCCTTCAAACATGTATGGAACGTCTTCATTGCTGGGCACAGGGGGTGCAACAGCGCCATCTATTGAGGATGTGGGGATAAGCTGGTAGAGGAGACTAATAAGCAGCGATTGAAAATTGGGATGCGAGCTCCGAAGCAAATCAACAGGTGCAGTGACTGGAGGAGTGCAGCGCACTGTGGATAGAGAACAGGGGTCCAGCATCCAGAGCAGGGTCGTTGGCAGAAGATCTGCTGAGAACTGAGGGTAAGGAGGCATTGTCAGAGGAAGGGAGGAAGGAGAGCTTAACAGCAGAGGGAATGGTGTGTGAGCCCAGTGTGTTCAGGGCACTGAAGGTCATCATGGCTGGGGGGATGCAAGGGGAAATGATAGGTGATGAGCTTGGAGAGGAAGAGCCCCAGGGCCTGTTGAGGGTCTCCAGCAATGGGAACTACTGTAGTATTACAAGCAGGGGAATGATATGATCAGATCTGTGATTTAGTGGTGAGCTGGTTGCAAAATGGAACCAGGATTGGAAGATGGCAGCAGGGAAGCCTGTTAGGATGATACTGTTGCAGTCATCCAGACAAGAGATGGTAGTGGCCGAGGAGACAGAGAGGAGGGGTTTGAAAGTTATTTAGTTGGTAGAATTGTCAGGATTTGGTGACTGAACGTTGGAACAGAAGGAGAGGCAGAATGCAGAGATGGTACCTTGTGGTGGGTGGATAGATGGTGATGCCATCCACTGAGGGAGAATAGGTTCAGGGGAAGAGATCAGGATGTGTTAGGTGTGAGGTGCCTGTGGGGCAGCCAGGTGGAGAATTCAGTAGGCTGTTGGACATATGACTCTGGAGCTCAGAAGAGCAAATGTGAGGTCATAGGAATGGTTGGGAGTGCCTGCAGAGAGGGCACAGCTAGTGACCACCAGGTGAAAACCCTAAGCCACAGTATTTAAGGGAGAAAAAAGAACTCACAGATGAGGCTGAGAAAGAGGGGTTAGAAAGCTAGGAGGTAAAACAAAGGCACAGGAAGAGAGGAATGGAAAATTTTTTTAGTGTGTTAAGAGGTCAAGTAAGATAAGGGTGGGGAAGGATCAAATAGATTTAGCATCCGTGAGGTGGTGTTCTTGGTGAGAAGAGTTCCAGTGGAAAGACTGAGGCCAAAGCCAGGCTGCAGTGTAATTAAGAGGTAAGTGGCCAGCAGCCCAGCCCAATTCCTAAATAATACAGACCTCTCATTTGACAACAAATAAAGTTCTAATGGTTCAAAGACTTAAACATAAAAAACAAAGCAATAAAAACACTAGGAAAAATAAAAGATTTAAAAAATTTATCTTAGAGCGGGGAAGACTTTTTTCTAGTATGGCACAAAACAGAAGCCCCAAAAGAAAAGGCTGATAAATTTGGCTACCTTAAGTTTTTTCTTAAGCTGTCACAAAACAACATAAACTAATTAAAATAAAAACCAAGTAATGAACTATACAAATCTTTGAACTCAGATTTTGGATGAGGACCAATTTTCTTAATATGTGAAGAGCTTTTACAAATCAATAAGAAAAACCCAATAGAATAAGAAGGCAAAGGATATGAACGTAGTTCTCAAAGAAGGAAACACAAATGGCTATTGAACACAGGCACAGACACCCAACCTCATTCATCATAAGAGAAGAGAAATTTAAACTGGTGACTTTTTTTCATCTATTAGATCAACAGTCACAGAAAAGTTTGGTAACACTTTGCTATCTGAGAATTGTGGAGAAACAGGTGGTCTCATACATGGCTGGTGGGATTGTGCCTTTGGACAACCTTTATGGAGGACAATTTGGCAATACCTGTGAAATATTACATACACATATACTCTTTAACACAGCCATTCTGTGTAAAATGATGAATTTCCAAGTTTATTCACTGTATGTTTGTAACAGCAGAGATTGGAACCATCTTTATGTGGAACATTATGGGCCGAGGATATTAATTATGTGTATCCTTACTGGTGTCTGGTCCTATAGGAAGTTGAGGAGATGGGACTACAGTTCCATGAGAGCACAGATGTAGATGCCTATTTGATAGTCATTGGTTTAGGCGCAAAGGTCGAAGTGAGATAGAATCAGTTCATCTTAGAAAAGACTGGTTCTGGAAAGAGCTGGAGGTTTTAGAGAGGGAGATCCCAGGAAGGTTGAGGAAGAGACAGAAAGGAAGCCAAGGTGTTGTGATGCTCTGGAAGCCAGAGAGGGAGTCTGAGACTCTGCGCAGGGTACAGCCCAAGGATAGGACACTCCTGGGCCGGAACGACACTGCTGACTTATGAATCAACCCTGGATTTGCCCTTCCACTGGACTTCTTGTGCTGTGGGAGAAGAAACTCTCAGTGTCCTCCTCAGAAAATTCAAGGGGTTGTATTTTCTAATATTTGAGCTCCGCTTCCCCCTCCAGCCCTGAAGCCCAGACACGCAGACAGCCTTTGACCTTTCTGCGTCGGTCGCCTAGGAGACGAGCGCCTCTCCGGGAGACGCAGGCGCTTCCTGAGGCCACGCCCCTTTCCCGCAGGCGGGCGCTGATTGGCCCGTTTGAAATGCGCCGGGCGCGAGCTCACCTGGTCCCGGAGCTGCTTCTCCAGGCTTTTCTGAGCGCCACGCCTGAGCTGCCGAGCGCCGGTGCCCCCGGCCGGTCCCTGCGGCCCGCCGTCCTCGCCAGCCCGCCCGACCGAGTCCGGCGTCCCGCTTGCACGTCTGGGCAGCGCGGAGCCTGCTGCCATGAAGCCAGCGTGAGTACCGGGCCGCGGAGCCGGGGCCGGCGTCTCCTGCCGCCGCGGCCGGCGTCTCCTGCCGCCGCAGTAGGCCTCGGGACACGCCGTCGGTACCGAGCCTCGCGTCTCCCGGGCCGCGGCCCCCAAAGTGGGAGGGAGCCCCCGTCAGGACCGCCCAGGGGGGGCCGGGCGCGGAGAGCCCGTTTGCGTCGACCCCGTCCGGCTCCCCGCCGCCCGGAGTCGGGCGCCCGGCTCGCCGCCCTCGCTTCACTCGGCCAGGAAATGTCGGCCCCAAGTTGGGAGGAGGGGGAAGTTTGGGCGGCAACCCCAGTTCGGGTTAGCCAGGTCGCCCTCCACCTGGCTCCGGGACCGCCGCCTCAACCCTTTCTTAAGTTTCCCTTTCCATCCCCGGCCGCCCGCACCCACGGGTTGCATTTTGCGGAGTTAGTGCGGGCCGGGGGTCGTCTCATGGGTGCGCCGAGTGTTGTGTCCTGGAGTTGGGGTTGGGTAGGTGGTCTCAGCCCCCGGAGAGCCCCGGCGTCCGAGCGCACTGCGTGATTTTCTTAGCCTAGCGCGGTAGCCTGAGGGCCGCGACCACCCCCGGGTGAAGGCCAGTTACTTTGCTCTGTTCTTGGGTCTCAGACAGCCCCGCCGCCAACACAAAAGCCGACGCCCACATTCCTCACGGAGTCGGTGACGTTTGCAGCTCAGCCTAATTCCTTGACTGCTGCTGGGTAACGAAATACTTGTGCAAAGAAGAGGGCTGCCTTTATAATTAGCACCATCACGTAGCTAGTCGTTTGCAAAGGCAACTTGTTTTCTTAAGAGGCTAAAGTCGAAATCGTTGGGGAAAAATGTTGAGTTTAAGTAAACCTACCGTAATATTTTGCACTTAAAACACGACTTTGCTTGTTTCATCTGGGAAGGGGTTGAAGAAGTATTTTAATAACCTAAAATCCAAGCCAGTAATTTCACTTAGTGTTAAATGTTTTTCTAGTCTATAGATAAATGGGGGAAAGGGGAGAGTGGCATGCTAGAGAAATGGTGAATAAAGCAAAATATCTTTTTCTACTGTCCCTACTTAAGAGAGCACGAAATTGCAGTTTGGGGACCACATTTTGAGGACAAAGGATGATAGTTTTGAGAATTCAGTAATCCCTTGTTGCTTGAAAGTAAAGACAAATCTTGATGAAAGAATGGATTCCTCCATCTGCATTTTTATAATTTATTGAAGTTAATCACTTGTCAGTCTGCCTTGGCAGTGGGCTGTTGGCACGGCGTGTGTGCTTATGTACCTACGTAAATGACTTTCGAGATAAGTGTGGTCAACTATCTGTAGATTTTTCAAATTTGTAGTGTCTGTAAAATTGTTGCTCAAGAGAATAAGCTATTTTACATACAGAACTATAAATAGATATTAAAAAACAGAATCCAACTAGGTAAATTTTAAAGATCTTACCGGCTTTTTTCAATGATTCATGAATCAGGCAGCATCCTATCTAGCACACAGAAAGGTGCTCCTAAGAGCTGTACAAAATGGAAGTTTTTTTATAGGCAGAGGGGGATGGAACAAGGGAATTATACTAGCAATGAGTGGATTGTCTGTGGCAAGGTGAACATCATTTAGTGGATGGCGGGGGTCTATCAGGCAGATTACCTCACTAGCGCTGACCAGGTGATTCCAGATTGACTGGTTTAAGATTCTATTGGGAGAGGTTGGAACTATAAGTTAGGTAAGAAGACTCAGTTTGGTGATGTGGGGCTTAGCACAGGTGACCCCATTTGGGGCCTGTTATCTCTTTTTTAGTAGCAAAAATGTCTCCTAAGCCAAATTTTAATTACTTTTGGGTTATCCATGCCACAAACACTCTTCTACTGAGGAAATTTATTCTTATTCATGTTATTTGGGATATAGTGTTGTGGAACTGCTAAAGAATAATTTTATAAACCCTAGGAAGGTCATCTCTGTATGAATTACAGGTGAAGTTTTTATATGTTAGTGTTGAACTGAAATGTTTTTGTATCTATGACCAGGAGAACTAAGACACCCAAGAAACCACCAGTGAAAAAAGGATCCCAAACGAGTCTTAAAGACCCCGTTGGGGTAAGCTCTCCCTGTGAATTTGTGTGTGTCTTCTTTCTTCAGTCCTTTTATGTCTTATGCTTATGCTTGGAAGGGATGGAGACGTGGAAGTGGAGTCAAAGAGCATTTAGCTGAAAGGATGATACTAATTTACTTAGGCTGGTTCCAGCTTTGAAACTTTGTTTCTATGTAGGATACATTAGCCCAGTAAAATGAAGTGTTTGGTTTTCAGTTGCATACTTCCTATAACTAATTATATTTGAAAAGTTAGATAATGAAAAAATATTCTTCAACTATCTTGGAGAATTCTTCATGCAGGCTTGGGAACTTGCTTTTAAAAGCAAATGGCAAATAAAAGAAAGGTGGTTTGCTCTGGGGTTTTTAAATCTTCCCTTCATCGGCACTGGAATGTATCTCTTGATTTGAGTTGTGGGAACCAGATGCTTTGCATATAGTGCTGAACAGTTTTTCCCCAACCCTATCACTGATTAAGAAGACCATATTTCGGGCTTCCCTGGTGGCACAGTGGTTAAGAATCCGCCTGCCAATGCAGGGGACACGGGTTCGAGCCCCAGTCTGGGAAGATCCCACATGATGCGGAGCAACTAAGCCTGTGTGGCACAACTACTGAAGCCCGCACACCTAGAGCCCATGCTCGGCAACAAGAGAAGCCACTGCAGTGAGAAGCCCGTGCACCACAATGAAGAGTAGCCCCTGCTTGCTGCAACTAGAGAAAGCCTGCGCCGCAGCCAAAAATTAAATAAATAAAATTAAATTTAAAAAAAAGACCATATTTCAGATCGCGCACCTTAGTGTATTAAGTGTTAAGCTGGCAAGTTTGACATCCAATTCCAGACAATCCTAACAGCTTTTCAAATAATTCTCATTGTTTTGATATCATGTGCATTTAAAATTCATATCTAAAATATCTGTTTGCATTCGACAGTTAGCAAATTGGGTAGCAGGGTAGCAGATCTTGGCTTTCAACTTAAGTATATATACTTAAGTTTAGAGACCAAGTGTTTGAATGAATGAATGAATGAATGAATGAAAAGTCAGGTAAAACGTCAACCTTTGTTCTTTAAGCACTTTCGTGTATTTTCAGGTGTACTGCAGGGTACGCCCACTGAGCCTCCCAGAGCAAGAGTGTTGCATAGAGGTGATCAGTAATACAACAGTTCAACTTCATCCTCCTGAGGGTTATAGGCTCAACCGAAATGGAGACTATAAGGAGGTAGTTCCTATTGGAAGCAGCTGTTTTTAATTGATAGGTTCTTTCCTAAATGACTTTTCCATGTTTTCCATTTAACAACATTCATGTGTTTCCACTTTATTGAAAGACTTATTTACTTCACTCTAACCACCATATCAAAAGTGTCTTTAATTTCTGGGCTGTACAGACACACCTTTGGTATACTGGAGTTAGAATATTGCTTTTAGATGATTAATTTCTTGTAATGGATAATTATTGCTTTTTAGAGCATATATTAGGAATGGTTTAATGTGGAATGATATCTGATTGTGCTAGGCAGTTACATGTATATATATAGTTTCATGTGTGGGATTGAAATAACATTTAGTAGGCATTGTATATTTGATGGTTTTTGTTTTTGGTTTTTTTTGCGGTACGCGGGCCTCTCACTGTTGTGCCCTCTCCTGTTGCGGAGCACAGGCTCCGGACGCGCAGGCTCAGGGGCCATGGCTCCTGGGCCCAGCCGCTCCGTGGCATGTGGGATCTTCGCGGACCGGGGCACGAACCCGCGTCCCCTGCCTTGGCAGGCGGACTCTCAAACCGCTGCGCCACCAGGGAAGCCCCGGCATTGTATACTTGTATCGCTCTCTTATGAAGTGTTTTTATTTTTAGTAAAATGTTAAAGAGAGTTCAGTTCAGTTCGACAAACATGTGCTAAGCTGGAGCATAGAAGGAGACTTTAAAAACTGAGTAAGACACGGTGCTTGCCTTTATGGAGCTTACAACTTAGTTGGGAGCACAGATGCTAAGCAAGTGACCCTCATTGGTAAGACAGAGGTGTGTTTAAAGAAATGGACTCTGGGAATGCAGAAAAAAGTATTAATTCAGGGTGTCATCTCTTTCAAGCTGCCTTCACTCTTTCGTGTACGCTACTCGAGGGAGATTGCTAGTCAAAAGCCCACCAGTGGCCTCTTTGCTGCTAGATGTGATGGACACCTCTTTGTCTTCATTATGATCTATTTCTCAGCAGCACTGTCCTGTCTTCCGCTCCAATTCTCCATGTTCTGTCTTTCACTGGCCACTGTCTGCAGGCTTCGCCTCCTTTTCCAACCTCTAAATACCAGGTTGGGCTATACCCAGGGCTCTCTTCCCTATCTATACTTTTCCATGGCTTTACATGTTGATGATATGGTAATAATTTTGGAATTTTTATCTCCAGACTAAATCTTTTCTCTAACTCTCAACTTGAACGTCCACTGCTTGGATGTCACACAGGCATGTCCAAAAGAACTCTTTTGAGTTTTTTCCCCTCTAGATCACTTCCTCCCTTGTTTTTTCTTGTCAATAAATAGCACCTCCACCATCTATTTGCTCAAACCAGACACCCTGTCCCTACCTTTCTCTTGTCCCCCCTCATATCCCATTCATTAGTAGATCCTTTCAGTTCTGCTCCAGTGTGTATCTGGAAACTGTCCTTTCAGTTCTATCTCCACTGCCACTACCCTCGTCTGAGGCCTGTTATTAATTACGGAGACAAGTGCTTCTCAAACTGTGGTGAAGAAGCAGCTTTTTTATTTTCAGTGCGTGGTGACTGATACTTTTGTGCAGCTTTGCCACAAGAAACTGTTAGACAACTGTTAGGCAAAGTTAGACAGCAGAGGACTGGTTTATAATCTGTTCAGAGATAAGCCCCACTGATCACATGCTGGGATGTCGCAGCTGTGTGAAATGGCTACAGAGGTTCTAAGCATTTACCCTCCATATCTGTAATTACCTCCCCCTGGACTGGAGACAGACAGCTCTCAGAGGGGCATTGGCCTGCCTGCTGACCACACTTTGAGTAACATTAACAAGATTATGCTGAAGCCAGCTGGACCACCTGCTTCCACTCTGAATCTTCTCTAATCCATTGCCACAGAGCAGCCAGTCATCTTTTAAAGCAGAAATCAGACCTCACATTTTCCTTTTTCTTTTTTTAACTGAAGTACCATTAATTTATAATGCTGTATTAGCTTCTGGTATACAGCAAAGTGATTCAGTTATACATATATGTATATATTCTTTTTCATATTCTTTTCCATTATGGTTTACTACAAGATATTGAATACACTTGCCTGTGTTATACAGTAGGATGTTGTTTATCTATTTTATGTATAGCAGTTTGTATCTGCTAATCCCAATCCTAATTTATGCCCCCCTTTCCGGTCACCATTTTCCTGTTTAAAACCTTCTAAGGAATAAAGTTTTTAAATGGGCACAATCCTGCTTAATCTTCCTGCTATCTCTCTCTCCACCTCACCTCTTAGTACTCATACAATCCTAAATTGCTTCGATAAGCCAGAATCTTGCCTCAGGGCTTTTCCCTTAGCTCTTAGCGGGATGGCTCCTCATCCTTAGGTTTTAGCTTAAATCGGTTCCTCCGAGAGTGTGTCCAGATTACCCCCATAAGCAGTAGCACCCCTCCCACTTCTCTCGTGGTCTGTACTCTCTATACTTCCTTGACAGCACTTACCCCAACCTATAGATTTATTTACTTGTTTATTGTCTCTCCCCTGATGTAATATACACGTCTAGGGGATATGTACCTTATCTGTCCTGTTTGCCAAATACTCAGTAGTTACGGATTAAGCATGAAGGAATGGTCTGGGAAGGCTTCATGGAGGAGTAGGCCTTTGAGAATGTAAAATAGTTGAGAACTGACTTATTGAATTTTACTTCTTTATTAGAGTTAATTTCATGTATGTGTAAATAGTACTAAAAGTTTGGTGGGGATTAACAGTTCTCAGTGCTTTTTGACAGAAGGCAACACTGGAAAATGGAAGAAGTGTTGGAATGGAAATGGCTTTGACACTAATTAGCTTCATGAGCTTGGGCAAGTTCCTTCTTGCCTCAGTTTTCTTCACCTGGAAGAGGGTGGGGATTGTTCATGAGGACTTGGAGGTCGTTGACCTGTCAGCACTAACCTGTATGTATCTTTTCAGTTCTAAGATTCTTTGTTCTTTCTGTGAACTCTAAAGCTGTTTTGCAGGATTGGAATAAAAACTTCTACAAAGGTGAGAGTTAGCTTAGCTGAAGAAGGTGTGTGATCTTTAACAGGTTATAAAATGAGCCATAATAATGGATAGTACCTACATCAGAGGTTGTAAAAATGATGATTCACTAATATGCTAAGGCAGTGCTTAGGACATGGTTAGTGTTAAGTGCAAGTTGTTGTTGTTATGATGGTGATGATGTATTTGAGTCCTAATCTATACGTGTCTCCTTTTGGGGGACAAAACTGCTAATTTTAAAAACATAAGGGTCATAATATTGAATTTAAGATAAAACGTTATAAAACAGGGAAAAGGGACAACGTGACAAAGGCTATAATCCATAATAAATTCTAGTGAATACTCATGTACCAGATAATAGCATTGACATTCATGGAGCAAAAATTGCAAGAAATTCAGGAAGCCTACAGGAACAATTGCAATGTCTACAAACTAATAAAGCTAGAAAATAACAAAAATAGGAAGAATAGAACTCCAGTCCCTGGATAATTAGGGCATTTTAATTTACCTTGAAATATATACCCTAGTCCCCAGTCTTATTTTCCGAGTAGGAGTTTGGTAATATTTCTGATAATATAGATATGCTTTATAATAATAGTCATATTTTGAAAGATTTGATAATTGAAGCATTATTTCTTTTTTAAAGGTCACAGTTTATTTAAAATTTATTTCATAGAAGAAATCAGATGAGGGACTTCTCTGGTGATCCAGTGGTTGAGACTCCATGCTTCCACTCCAGTGCACCGGGGTTATATCCCTGGTCAGGGAACTAGTATCCTGCATGCCTTGTGGCACAGCCAAGAACAAACAAACAAAACTCAGATGAGATTATATTGACAGTTATTTTCTAGTTTAAAAAAAGCAGTACAGGGCTTCCCTGGTGGCGCAGTGGTTGAGGGTCAGCCTGCCGATGCAGGGGACACGGGTTCGTGCCCCGGTCCGGGAAGATCCCACATGCCGCGGAGCGGCTGGGCCCGTGAGCCATGGCCGCTGAGCCTGCGCGTCCGGAGCCTGTGTTCCGCAACGGGAGATGCCACAACAGTGAGAGGCCC